GGCTTGTTTTACAACGTCGTTGCCAAGCGACGAAAACCCAATCCCGATGGCAAACACCGGGGCGGCGGCTTGTTTTACAACGTCGTTGCCAAGCGACGAAAACCCAACCCCGATGGTAAACACCGGGGGGGAGATAGGGGTGTGGTCATTGGGGTACCCGGCCGTAGCCCTCAGGTCGTACTGTAGTGGTTTCGCCGGCTCGACTATGAGAGGGGGAAAGTACAAACCGTACTATGGGGCGACAGTAGTCTTACATTGGCATGGAACAGAGATCTTATTGTTCACAACTTTCAGTTAGTTGACCTCGGGAGGAAACGTGTATGTATGTGCCCAATAGGGATCGTGCGACGTGTGTGATGAAAACGCGCGTGCTTTCATGAAGTGTGACGCCACAGTTTACACGTGATCCAGGCGACGATGAGGTTTCAAAACATTCGCTGCGCATCGGATGAGCCATCCGTTCACTTCAAAGCCATCCAGATACGTAAGTACATATGAGGCATACTTTGTACCCGTGGTGCAGGTATAACGTCTTGGCAGGGCGAGTATTACTCTGATAGAATTTGACATTTCTTGGCAGAAGCAGCACTATAGTACCTACAGCTGACGTAGTTAATCTTTATGAGCGGCCAAAAGAGGGTACGCAACTCCAAGCACGTTCCTAGCCAAGAGCGAGAAAGTCTTTATGACGTGCCTCTAATGAAACATACCCGTTCATACTATTCCGCAATACTCCAAAGGTATGCTGCTATGTTCTTGAATTCCCAAGGCTGCTTTACTTCACCGAACTTTTTCGCACTACATTAGTCAAACATGCAATCTTGCCTGAAAATGGTAGAAGGCGCCCGCGCGACATTCTCTCCCCCCAGTGGATGCCGCAGTATTAATGAAGTCTGCGAAACACAGCGGGGTGGAATTTTGTTGTAAAGCAAGGGGTAAAGAAACCCCGAAGACGGAGCGTTGACGTCTTTATCGGCGAACGGCTGCGGAAAATACAACGACCAAACCCAAGCTTGTCACACATGAAGGGTTCATTTGTATCTCGTTCGGCCTACTTTATCTGCTGCATGCACAGGAGAAATCGACTAGTACTGCGGAACAACAAGCGCGCCCAGGGCCGTGGAGGTCGTCTACTGGACCGCCTGAGTTTGATCCTCCTGTGTTGTCTTCTCACCCTGCTTGTAGTACTTTCCGCCAATGAGAAACAGCGTTTGGCTACCACCCACGTCCTTGACACACGTCTGGTGCTCAGGTTTGATCCAGTGCTCGCATCTTCCCTTGGCTTTCTCAACAATGGTCATCGGGCCCACCGCAACCTATGTCGGGATCGTATATTTGGGAGTGTGTTTTTTTGTTGCGTCGTCAAACGCCATGGATTTTTCGTGGTCTCAACTGCATGTATGTTGAATTAGCGGTATTGTGATACCGTTACTTGGTCGCCTCACCGACACCGGAAGATGAAATCGTCAACAACGTCCTGACACATTTGCAACAAAGTATTACCGGCACAGCAACACGACATACAACGCAGCCCTAGTATCGCATGTCACTCATTTTCTTTCTCTCTCTCTCTTTCTTTCTCGCACCTGCATGCTCGGTGATAAGCCCCCTTTGCTTTCGTCGTTGCCGCCGCCGTCCGCGTTCGACGTCCCGTAGTTGGTCCCCGCCCCTGCCCCGAGCGGCTCGTTGTAGAAACATTCAAGGTCTGGGCAGAGCGTGACAAGGCCATGCCCATCAATGATGACCTCTCGCCCTCTCATTAGCGCAACGGCCTCTCCGTCTTCTTGATCCACATCCGACAACGCCTGTAGCCAGCGGAAGGCCGGCGAGAAGGAAAAACGGGTCTGTTGCCTGGAATGGTCTTTGTGGGCGTTCTAAACGCTGTCTTGTTTCAGCATCCTCGCCGTATCCGAATGAGCCTCAACCTTTTGGGAGATAACAAAACGTACAAGGCACTGCACCCCTCATGCTGGTGTGCAGGCCTCAAGAATGACTCAAATTAACCCCCGTGTCGCGCACGCCACAGCCAGTGACAAGCGCAGAAAACCCGCCAGATAAGAATGCGTATGCCATGGAGGCACACGCTTTGAGATATTTGTTCACCCAATAAATACAATGTATGGCGTAGGTAACACAATGTGCGCCATCCCCGGGACCACCGGTCAAGGCTCGGTTACTCCACGACGAAGAGGATGTGGAACCCAGGTGATTCGTTTTCAGAATGCTCTCGACAAGACCATTTCAACAACGCCATTATTGACACCGTCACTCCCTTTCTGCTGAGGAGAAATCGAGCATTGAAAACCGGTCTAGAGGGTGTGATAACTTGAGTCCACCACAGCGAGTACCCCCGATTGCGCGAAGGCGTTACCCCTGCACCAGAACCGACCCCCTACATCCTATTGCAATTCTACAGTTACGCATTGCCTTGACGGTAAACTTGATCCTGAGAGACGGATCCGAGGCGGCGGCGAGGCTGTAGCACCCCTCTGCGCTTTGTAAGGGCAGCCCGTGGTTCACCCGAAACGCCTGATCAGTGCATTGCAAAGGAGTTGGAGAGCACTTAGAGCGGCGGCCAAGAACAAGCACTCCAGAAGTGCGTTCGATAATACCAGACACGAATGCAAGATATGTCGTACTGAGCTGCATTTCCACAGAGAAGGCGCAGGAAAAGAAAGCACCACAGCCAAGAAGGAAAGCTCTACCACTTGACAATCTGTTGACGAAGTGAGCGAAACACAATTGGCACCTGTTCGAGCCGTTGTGAGCAGTGTTTCGTTGCGAGGGGGTACTGGTTCGACACCAGTTGGTAGTTGTGGCCGCACGATCTACGAGTTCTCTTGTCGTTTGGTGCAGGTGTACCCACGTGCCAGGCGAGAAATTCGCAGCCGACAGAACTCGAAGCGCGTGATGTATGCACGACGAATTATTACCTCTAGCCGTTCCGAGTAGTTGGTGAGGTGCGAGCACCTCCTCCAGACGCGGTTTACGTCGACCTTGTTCTTGTGGATGGTCAGCTGGCCCCTCAGGTAAGCCCTGTACTGATCGCCAAAACTGCGGCAGGTTGCATGGTGTACATTTATGTGTAATGCGTGTTTAGTATGGCGCACGAAAGCCACTTCTGTATGCACGGAAAAAGGAAAATTTGCAATGGCCGGGCCGTAGCTTCGAACCATACAGAGATGATGTGGGTATCCAAATCATGCTGTTGCTAATGTCGATGCATCTTCTGGTGTTGTGGCTGATGGTTTCGTGGTTGCCGTTGCCATCACTTCAAGGGGCGGCGAGTCTTGTCAATGACAAGGAGGTGAAAAAAGAGAGAACGCACCCTCAGCTGGTTCCTTCGGAACCGCTCTCTGGTGCTACCACAGCACAACAGTCGAGGGGTTCCCATCTCATCGAAGGTACTTCGCAACAGCTTTACGCCAGGCTATTGACCCTCCCCAAGTCTTCTACGAGGAATTACGCACCTGAAGGTGATGATGTCAAAGTCTTGTAGCTCCGTGGGCTCCAGCCAACCCCTACGCATGTCGCCGAAAAGCACATCGAGGTCCCCGAACGCCCAGTGGGAGTATTCCACCAGGTACTCTCGGAAGAGCCAGCCGAACGCCGGCTTGAACTCCACGATGAAGTACGGCGACTGAACGGACGGCACAAAAAAACAGCATGCCCATGCGGCGATAGGCAGGGTTCGGGCTTCGGTCACTATATTTTTGTCTCCGGTTCTTTGCAAAGGATGGTGGGAACACTCTCTGACTTAGAGTCCGGGAGCTCCACCCTAACACTAGCCGGTACTCCACGATGAAGACGGCGACTTCATGTGTCACATCACGTGTTCATGTCGACGTCGGGAGCATCGCTTAGGCCACTCGAACCACGGGTCACGTTCAACACTCTGTGTTTTCGTTGCATGTAGTCTGGGTGCCTATCTCTGTCTGTCGGCGTGCGATTATCGCACCAGCCGGGGTCAGGCAATCGGGAAGGTAAACGCTGGAGTTATTGGGGTTTCTTATCCTTCTCCCCTGCGGTGCCTGCCTTCATTTTCTATGCGAAAAGGGGGTATACACCTCTTGTTCTCATTTAGATTTTTTTCTCACGACCATGGGTGTTCAGCCTTACATGAAATTGAGATTTTCTCACTTCAGAGAGATTCGAACAAGAAGAAGAAGAAATCTAGAGGGTTGGAAGGGTATAACGACACCAACTGACCCACTATTTTCTGAGTTTTGCCTTGTGGTAGGCTGTTACAATGGAGTGTTCCTTCATAACCAAGCACGGCGATGCGGCAGACACAAAGGCGGTTGGTGGGGCTCGATGAGCTCCGCAAGAGAGTGCCATCAACAAGCAGCGGCCAAACCCACCGAAAACAAAGTGCACCTGCAACACTCTATCCCAGACTGCCACGATGGCACACGAACACCGGGTCCTCACCGTTATGAACAGCTGATGCAAGAACGAGGCAGCCCTCTTTCGCTTGACGGCGTTCTTCGCCAACGCTTCCGTGATAGATTCTTCCCAGATACGACTTGCCGCCGTTTCTACGCCGCTATCTTTCCCCTCGTTCCCGTCATTTTCCTGCACCTCGATCTCGGCGTGGGTTTCCGGGACACTTTCTACATCGCCATCCGATTTATCGCCGTTGCCATCGCCACCGTCCAAACCATCCCCGCGGTCGCCACCGTGAACGGGTAGGGGGTCTTCTGGCTCAACTACCCCGGCTAGCAGCCACGCCATGCGTCTCGTGGTCATGGGGAAGAACTTGATGTTCGGGGGGCTTTGCTTTCTCACCAGTTTCTGGTTTTTCAAGTGTTTGCGGGGGGGCAGGGAGATATGCTGAATGCGTGAGTAATACACTTGCGGTGATTGTGGCAAGAGCTACCGAACCCTGCAGAGTGGCAGCGAAACGCCGCTACTCATATTATAGTACCGGAGGCAATGGTTTCAGGATGTGTCGGTAGCGACAACGTCTTTCTCGGGCCAGCCGAGTATAGTGTACTGCAGCACGTTTACGTCCGCATTTCTTGTGACGTGACACCTGTGGAACATGTAGACAATGTTACCCACGGGTGGATGTGTGTGAATTCTGCAGGGATGGACGATGGTGGGATCTGCGCCATGAAATACATAGATAGGGTGTCCTCCAAGATTCGGTATGAATAGACTCATGACGCTAGGTTTCCACAACAAAAACGTTTGGTACATACGCGTGTACGTCCTTCAACATCATGAGACGGACGGAGAAGTGAAAAGTGACTCGTTTGGACGCATCGGCTAGCGTGAACGCTTCGGGTTCCTTACAAATACGCTGACATGTGAAAAGATACGAGCTACGATGAGAGACAAGGCAAAACTACTATTGTAGTACTCCCGCAGCAGCGTACTACGCAGCCAACAACGAAGTCGGTGAGTCTGGAACGGTGCGTACCCCAACCTTCTCCTCAAACAGGCCACCTTAAATCACCACACGTACCAAACTGAGTGCCACGGTAGGAGCGAGCTCTGTTGAAACCCTCTTTTCGTACTCAGTACCACACCGAGGGCTGACGTGTCTGTGAAGCTTCCAAGTGTGCGAAGACAGGCAGTGTTCTTCTTTGTGAGTTACTCGCCTGGTCGCAGAATATAATCCAGTCAACGAGTCCGTCATTGAGCCTAGCCTGCTCCGCGAAAGCATCCCACCACACGGGCAGGTCTTTCCCGACGTACGGTATCACAACTGCCACCTTCTGCCCATTGAATTGGTCTGGTTGGGTAGGTTGTGGCGGTGCTTGCCCCCGCCACGGGTCTTTCCCAGTGATCCAATATTCGGTAGGGTCGGCAACCGCAGAAGTACGATTCTCGAGCAGTTCGACATCATGGTTTACAGCAACCTTGACTGTTGCCTGCCCTGTTTGTTGTTTGATGCTCGCCGAGGGGAGTGCACGCTCTGTGCCCGTCTGTGGAACGCCGTTTTCGTCGAAATACGGCATGTTTTCGTTGACGGCGACAAGATCCGGGATGGACCGCCTGCGGATACCCATGTTTTCGTCATCCAAGGCAGCTGTGCGGGAGGGTAACTGGAGGATCCGGCTTTCGTCCTTGCTGTGCTGGTCGGACGAAGATACTGCCGAGCTGCTGACCAGCAAAGATTCTTCCGACCTGCTGCCCAAAAATGCCAAGTAGAGGTCGATGATCAACGCTCCTCCTACCATACACCCGATCACCTTGAACCGCCTCCGGTAGCGCCTGCCATTACCGTTGCTTTCGCTTGCGCTGGGGCGCCGGCCAGGGTGCTGCGGTTGCACTAGTTTCTGGTGTTGGCGCTGGTTCTCTTGTTTCTTCTCACGAACCGCAAATATCCCGTCCGCAGAGGCCGGCGCATGCTCCTCGTGACGATCAGTACCTGCAAAAGGACTGGGTGCTGATCCTGCCTCGGCTAGTCCTGTTTCTCCATCTGGCGATGAAAGCATCGGAGAAGGGCAATACTGCCAAGCACGCCGGAGAAAGAACGGCAGCCTTCTTCTTCTGTCGGGCGGCGCAAGCGGCGGCGTTAACTTCGGCCGTAAGTCTGGGGTCGGCAACTGCTGGGTGGGCGTTGACGATGCGTCTCTTTTTGGAGACTCAACATCGAACGGGAGCGGGTGCTCGCCAACAGCAATGCTGGAAAGCTTCTTCTGCCTCCTTGACATGTGGTACGTGCTCATCGTGGGTGTGGTGTGGACCCTGCTCTGATCTTGCTGCCCGCACTGATCCCGAAACGAATCTTCTGGCTCGCATCGGGAAATGCTGATCGCCAGATGTTCGGTGCAGCGGACGGGCCGCACGAGAAGTACTGTAGGTCGAAGCCAAACTCGTCTCTCTTGCTGTTCAAGAGGTGTGTGTACGTAGAGAATGCATTGAGCGCCTCACGTCTGGAGACGGACGAGAGTTGTGAGAGTGATAGATAGGATGCCAAAAGATCGCAGCCTTCATGTGTAACCGAAGTCGTCATCACGTGCGCGCGAAGAGGAAGCGGCGTAATTACATCAACCAAAAAAAGGAACTGTACCGCAGGCGTTTGTGTGTTTGCGTCTCAATAGGGTATGTACATTGTGAAAGAAAAAGTGTATTGCCCCGCATTGTAAAGGCGAGCGCTAGTTGTGTTGGACCGAAGCAGCATTTGGTCTCGCGGCAACGCGGATATCCTCCGCCCTCTCCTCCTGCTTGCGAGGAGCCAGATACGGTGAACAGTGAATCACGAAAGCCTGCTACGTGCACCGGGTCGGGTCCTAATCTCGACCCAAGATCTTGGTTGTGTGTGTCGACCATTCGGACCCTGCCGGGGGGACAATGCCACTGCTTTAGGTTTCCTGACGGCGATCGCGGTTGTGCGAGTGAGAGCCAGGCAAGGGCATGCCGCGGGCAAGAAGCACGAAGAGAGGTACAGCACTTCTTGGCCATGTCTGCCCAGCTCTGAAATGCAAGCTGTCCTTGACTCAAGCGTGCTTTTATGACGGGTGTATGCATACCAATATTGTTGACGCCGGCCTTGTCTGCTGGCTGGCTCTCAACGCCTGTTTGTTCGCGGCAGGTGGGGGACGGCTCATGGTCGCAGCTGGGGTTGGAGGTGGTGGCGGTGCTGCCGTGCCCCGAAGCGGTGAAGGTGGCGGGATTTTTGCTGAAGGGGCCAATAGGGAACGCACCAGGTGAGAAGTGGGGATCTATGGAGATCGGCTAGGGTAAGCGTCATGCTACAATATGCAACCGTCATGGAACATGTGAAAAAAAAGCCGTTTTCATCTTGCCGCTTTTGGCGCCGTCTTCCCTGTTTTTTGGGGGTAGAGCGCCCCAACCGGCCTCTTGTTTTTCTCTACTGCTTTTGCCAGAGGACTGCGGGCGTGTGGGGTACATACAGGCAGAGAGAGAAAAGCATAATTCGAGAGTTTGAGAGAGGGAGAGCACAGGCGGTGAAAGCTCTTTGTCCTTCGACAAAACTACTCTTCAGTATTTCATGTGGGGAGGGTTCGCCAGGCCAACCGATTTTCCCTATCTCTCTCCCGCGGCATCTTGAGTAGCACACATCGCACGGATCGATTTCCTCAGCTCGGTGGTGCCTCACTGTCAACCACGCTTACCCATGCCGAACCGTTCACCTTCGAGAGACCCTTTGCGCGACAGGACTAACCTCAAGCCTTTCCCCGCGTTCTTGACTTCTCTTGTGACGAAGATCGATCCAAGCCACCCTTGCTGCCATTGCCCATATCCCCACTTGTGGAAGCATCATCGACACAGCCAATGCCAGTCTGCGCTAGATAGGCCTATTTCTTGCCATCCTGCTCCCCCAGTCAGTGTTTCATTTCGTGCTACACGAGAATCGAGGCCACCTATTTTTGCCTGCAACCCTCAACATACACTGGTTTCGCGCGATTCCTGCTGGCCCCTCCGGCGCTAGTCGCAACAGACTGCTGGCGGCAGGCACGATTCCTTCTCCCGAAAGCCACACGCCTGCGGCAGCGGCGGCATCCGCAGCAACAGCCGCGACTTACGCAAGATTGGCGCAGCGATCGTCGACCCGTCTGGCGCTGCAACGTTCGACGTCTTCGCCATCACCCAGGGCGGCGACGAACCGTTCCTCCGTGCGGAGGCGGCACAGAAGCACGCGGGTCAACGGGCTGACTGAGATAGGAGCGGCGGCGACGCCCGCTCGTGGTGGGGGTCTTGTCGGCAGTAGGCAAGTCGGGACGGCGGTGAGGGTGACAGTGCCGAAGCGAGCCTCGCGGCGTCTATCCGGCGGAGAGGCCTTGATTTCCATGAGGGACGCGAACGACAACCTGGACAGACTCGTTTTGCCCCGCAAGAGGAAATCGGCGGGGGGTGCGGGAGCGGTGACATCGACAGGAGCAGCAGCCACGAAACACCGGGCGACGGGTCAGCAGCAGCAGCAGCAGCAGCAGCAGCAGCAGCAGCAGCAGGCCGGACAGAAGCCGTTTGGACCAAGCAACGCTGTTGATTCTAACCCTAACCCTAACCCTACGCCGGATGTTGCCGGCGGTTTTGATGCTAGCAACGATGCTTGTGCTGGTGCTGGTGCTTCTGCTAGGGCTGCTTGTGCTGATGCTTCTGCTGATGCTGGAGCTGCTTCCGACAACATCGCGCCTGGTCCGAAGCCAGGAGCTGCTAGCAAAATGTTGTCGACGAATTTGTCCTGGCCCCCTTCGAGGCTTGCTTCCATCACAACCGCTTGCGTTCCGACCTCGGCTCTTGATGACCACTACACATCGAATTCACTCGGTACCTGTGCCGCCGCCACCAGCGCTGGCGCGACCTCATCGAGAACTAGAGCCGCGGTTAGCGGCGATAGAGCCGAACGGGGTCTCCGGACGACGGTCCCAGCAGCACCGCTGTGGACGGTGGTTGTTCTCGACAATGGCACGGCCGGCCGGCGTCGTGATGCCGTGACCGGCCTCCTCGTGAAGGGAGGGGCTTTCACCGCTGCAGGAGGCGCCAATACCCTCGGGGCAATCCCCGCAGCCCCCAGCGGGCAACAACGCGCGGAGGCTCGGCGGCAGGTTCCGCCGCCGCCGCCGCCGCCGCCGCCGCCGCCGCAGCAGCAGCAGCAGCAGCAGCAGCAGCAGCAGCAGCAGCAGCACGGCGGCCAGGAGAAAGAGGGAGGCGTTGCTGAGCGTGTTGGCGCTGGCGTTGTAGCTACCCCGACGGTGGGCACCACCGGGACGACCGCGATGAAGCTCGAGCCCATGTCCGCTATTGTCGCGGCCACGGCCGCGGCCGCGCCCGCTACTCTGGCTGCCAGAGCTGCGGCCGCCGCCGCTGCCGCCGCCGCCGCCGTTGCTTCAGTCGGCAGTGGAGAGTCAAAAGCTCCCGGAAGAACGGCGGTGGCGGCGGCGGCGGGTGACTCGGGCGGTCCCGTAAGGGCAGATTTCACCGGGTGGCAGTCCTGGCCGAAGACACGGCAAGAGTCGAGACCCGAAGACGGCGGGATCGACGACGCTTCGGGCAAGGTAGACATGAACGGGTCCGGAGCAGGCCTTCCCCTCCTTCAGGCCTCCCCGTACCCGTGCTCCGAGAGCGGGGCCGGCAAGAAGAACGGCGAAGAGAGCAGCGGTGACGGCACGGGCGGAGGAGGCTCGAGCGGGACGACGGACGAGGAAGGTCGTCGTCTCGAGAAGAAGCAGGAACCCGCCGACCCCAAGCAGAAAGTTCGCGCACAGACTTCCCCGGAACAGGAGGCCCCCGAACCGGCGACCCCCAAGCTGGAGGCCCCCAAGGAGCAGGTTCCCAGGCAGCAGCACAAGCCCTTCCAACAGCAACCTACCACACCGGAACCTCCCCCGCAGAAGGCGTCCACACCGGCGCCCTCCAATGCGAAGGCCCCCAAGCGGAAGGACCCCAGGCGGGAGCCCCTCAAATGGAATGGCACGGCTAGCAGAGGGGGGCGAGCTTCGGGCAAAAGTGGCAGCGGCAGGACGTTGCGGAGGACCACGGCGACCGCCACCCGTTCTAGAAGAAACCCGGTCGCCGCCGGTGGGTCGGCCGCCAATGATTTCGCGGCGATGCCTCCGACCGGGGTGAGGGGGGGAAAGCCAGGCCGTGGTTTTCCCATCGGAGGCCCCCGGCGTGCCCAACGCCAAGCGGCGGCGGCGGCGGCGGCGGCGGCGACTCGCGCTAGTGCGAGGACCCCTGAGCGTAGCCCCAGCTCGGAGAAGGTAGCCGCAGGCAGCTGTGCTGCAAGCACGAGAGGGAAGAGGAAACATCAGGTGGGCGACGGCGGCAGGGCACTCCCCTCGAAATCTCCGCGTAGCCCCGGCCGTCATGCGACGGCCTTGGGTATCGCTGCCGTGGCTGTGTTGGCGGCGGCGGCGGTGCTTCCCCCGGGTGCCGCAAACACCCCCTTGCAAATGCCTGAGAAGATGAGGCCTTCTTCCGTTCGAGGCAGCGGCGGGGGCGGCGGCCGCGGCGGCGGTAAAGCCAATGAAGATCGAAGCGGAGAGAGCAGCGGGAGCATTCCATATGCCGAGAGTACAGAACTTGAGGACAACAGCGGCGGCGGCGGCAAAGCCTGCGAAGGTCGAAACGGAGAAGGAAGCGGGAGCGTGTCTATGGTCGAGGGCACAGATGTCGGGGACGAAAGCGCCGGTGCCGGCGCCGGCGGTAAATCCGATGAAGATCGAACTACAGTTGAGGGAAAAGATCCCGGAGATGACCCTGGCGGCGGCGGTAACGACGGCCTTCCTGCTGTGGTAGGCCGTTGCTCTGCCCCTGTCGGGGGAGGGAAGGCCGGTCGAGCGAGAAGAGACAAGAAAAACAAGAAGGAAGGGGCATTACGCTCACCCCCCAACGCCGCTGCGGAAGTAAGGTTCCTCAAGTCCAAGGAAGCTCATGCCGTCCCCCTTACCCCGACCCCGCGGTATTACCTGCCGGCAGACCAGGGCGGGCCCATGATCGAGGATGCCGCCGGAGTCCCCGCCACGGAGCACGGGGACGGGACAGGAGGCGGCCGGCGTTTCAGGCCTGCGCTGAGCGAGGGGGGCGCCGACGTGATATGGGACCGCCGGCGGTTTAACCTCACGGTACCGGCGAAGTTGGGCGGCGGCGGCGGCGGCGGCGGCGGCTGCTGCTGCGGGGGAGCGGCCGTCGACGAAGCGACAACGGAAGAGGCGGGATGTTTGTCGGCTGACTCTTCCCTGGAGACGGCGGGTTCGCCTCCGCACGGGTCCGACGGCGGCAACGGCGGCCACGACAAGGGGAAAGGAAAGGTGCGTGCGTGCGTACGTGCGGTGAGTGCGGTTGTGGATTCCGGGTGCTGCGGGATTGCCGCAAAAAGGGGGGTCACCCTGCCGGAGGATGTTGTAGATCGACCGCTGATGCAGCCGATCGTCCCCGTGTGCCTGTTCGGCAGAACCACGGGGGGGTCGTCGCGACGCGCCAGAGAGTACCTGATGATGGAGGTTCAGTGCTAGGGGGCCTCGTTGAGCATGGATGACGGCGGTTCAGGGCTGCGTAGCATTCGTGATCTTGGCGTCTTGATGTGTTTGTTTCGCGCATTCGACCGGACTTCACGCTCTTCCCCTACGCGGAGTCTCTTCCCTACGTGATTTCTCGACAACCATCGACAAGACACCACCACCATATGCCGGACTTGTATCTAGAACCGATATCGGTCTCCCGACCGAACACACACACACATGAATGCTGCTGCTGCTGCTGCTGCTGCTCTTGCCGATGGTCGATCGAACTCGGGACCAGCCGTTCACCTGATTGACCAACGCTCGTACCGCTCTTGTGCGTACGGCGCTCCCCTGGCGCTTGTTTTGTTCTTTTCTCCCACATGGTTGTTAGGATCCACCGCCCCCTCGTGATAGCACCCCGCGGGCGAGGAAGAAGGAGCGCATGCTGACGCTCAGGGAAGAGCAGGACGAGATTTTCAAGACGCTCGTCAACAGCAGCCGCCAGAAGGATCTCATCACCCCCCAGGTGAGGAGATAGATGGCAAAAATACACACACACACAAACGCGTCCCAAGCGCGTTGTTGTTGTTGCTGGTGTTTTTGTTGTTGTTGTTGTTGATGATGATGATGATGCTGGTGTTGTCGCTGTGCTATTATGTGTCAATCATTTTCAATTTCGCGAACTTGCTCTTGTTCGACTACGTTACCCACTGCCGACGTGTCGACCTTACTTGCCCTCGGCCTTTTTGTTGCAGGAATACGGACACGCGGGTGGTTACTTCGGAGACAGGGAGCAGCCTTTCGAAGTAGTGGTGAGCGCGACTGCTGGCTGCACCGTACCACCCATCCTACCACTTTCTTTAACGCAAGTTGCGGAACGAGTGGTCTCTTGTTTCCTTTTGTTTTCTCCGCGAAACGTTCGGGTGTCTATTGGGAATTGTTATGAGTTGGCATTTTCCCTACAGGTCCATCCCCACGTCCACTTCGTAGCCGATGCGCACGCGTACATGATGGAGAAGAACGAAGTCATTGGCTGGCTCGGAGGTTGGTTCGACGAGGAAAACAAGGTGCTGTACGTCCAGGTGAGCGCGCACGATGTCGGTCTCCGCGTCCTTGACTGGCGGGTTCGAAGTTATTGTTACCGGTATTCTAACGTCGCTCTCTCTCTCTCGATCTTCCTTCCTTCGTTCCTTTCCTTCCCTTTCTCTCGTTCTCTCTCTCTCTTAACATTTCCCTCTCTCCCTTACACACTTTTCTCTATATCTGACGTACCGTAAATGGCACAATATAACACACCCCCTGGACCGATTTTCAACTCTCGATTTCTCGACAACAGAAAGAGTCACGGCGCTGACAACGGCGGCGTTGGAACCGTCTCGTCGAGAGCTTTCCAAAAATGTATCGTTTCGTTTATGCATCCTCTTCGTCGTGGAGTAATCGAGCTTTCAAAATTGGTCCAGGGGGTGTGTTATCATGTGTCATATACGGTATATCTGACGGTAACTGACAGTATCGGCAGTCATGTACGAAACAAGACAACCCCGCGCTGCCTGCAGTGTGCTTCCACGTCTCTTCGGCAGAAAAAGGAGCTGTTCCGACACCTCCGGTTTGCACTCAACCTTGACTGCAGGCCCCCGGCTTAGTGTTGGAGGACTGCTGGGAGACGACTGTTCACACGTTCACGTGCAAGCGTGCGGAGATTTTTCTGGCCATGCCCCGCGACACCAAAACTTTCGGTCGGCTCAGAGAGATACATGGAGAAACGTCTTTCTTTCGGCGCTGTCCTGGCACAAGGAACGCAGTCCTGGTTGAGGATACCACCACACTGTCACAATCTCCACCAACCGCAAATACGACAACGGGTGCTCGTCTTACTTTGTACGTTTTTCTATTCTGCCCTCATCGTCCCTGTGCATGTACTCTGTAGACGGCGGTTCCGTGTCGGGAGGATCAGGAGCTCTCGGGCGGGGCCAGGGGCATGACGGAGGTTTCCATGTGCCAGGCGTCGTCGTTTCACACCAGCGAGGCCATTCGGGGTCGTGGTCTGCAGGTGGGCTATTTGTTTTTCGGGTGGGAGTGTGTTCGTGTGTTTAGTTATGAGCACCGGCTTTACAGCAAGTCCTGCGTGTGCGTGTGCTTCTGTTCATTTGAGCGAGTCCTGCGCGTGTGTGTGTGTGTGTGTTTATCATTCAACATCGACCTTCCTTTTGTAGCTTCACCGGGCAAAAGTCGAGGCAGTCTAACACGGTCATTGTGTAACGTAATACAACCGAAAGTACCTCCTCGCCTGCCCGCCCGACTCTCCCCGTGGCCGCTGATCGCGCCCCGACCAGCTGGTTGGCTGGTATCACTCGCACCCAAAGTTCGTCAATGACCCGTCTCCGATCGACGTAGAGAACCACCAGATGTTTCAGGCGAGTGCACTCGCATACCAAGGAAGGGAGGGGTGGAGTTGGGGAGGGGGTCCGTCGATCATCTACCGTCTGGGTGGTCTTGTGGGGACCGACTGTCCCGAAGGATGCATATTCTATTCTGTTTTGTTTTTTCATTTTTTCGGCAGAGTTATTTTTGTATTCCGTTCTTGCCGCATGATGGCATGACCTGGCCTGTCGTCATAGTCAAGAATTCCCACGTGTTGGAGCAATTGGCTCATGTTATAATTTGGCCTCTGATGTGTCCTTTTTTTGTTGTTGAGGTGCGTCCAATTTTACGTTTCCAGCAAGTAATCAACGCCTCAACAATCGATTTATTTTTCCACTCCATCCTTGCTTCCGTCGACGGCTCACAATTGTTTGGTCTCAACCGCGGACCCCACTTGAGCTGATGCGGTTAGTCAAGACGTGTACCTCACAATTGAGTTGGAACAAAAAAAATATCTCCGGAGGCGCGGTACAAGAGCGCAGCCAATTGTTTTTTTTTGTTCCTGTCGACGGATGGGTAAACTTTGTCCTTGTCGGACAGATGAGTGTACACACAAAGGGCGCGCGTGCATTCGTAGAAACGGGCCGCGCCCCCTGTACCCGCGGCCGTCTGACCTTAGAGTATGCGTTGCCCCCGCCTGCCTAGGATCGTTCGCCAAGGGAGTGCACAGGAGCAAAAGATAAATTAGTTGGACTTCGATTTTTTTTTTTGTTCTTGACCGAAAGTGTGTTTCTTCCTGCGGTCGGGTCTTATGTTTGTTTGTCGCACGCACTGAATAAGCGTCGCCCGCTCGCAATTTATCTCCATCACTTATTCCTTGCGTCTCGGACGGACGGAACGGTCACAGTTTCACGTTACAAATCGACCGCCCCATCAGGGTGTATGTTGCGGTACCTACCCTCCGTTCGTGATGAGTCGGGGTCATTCTCGGGGTGGCACATAATATTGTCAACCCTCCCCGCGACTTGTGTGAAGTCCGATTTTTACTCGCTGTGATGTTGTATGTTACGCCAACCCGTTGTTTCGGCATTTGCGGCTTTTGGTTGCGTGCTATGCATACGCCAAGCAGAAGGACGAGAGTGGCGAGGGCTCCTCGGGTGCGTGGGTTGGGCTCATCGTCGGGAGGAAGACGAGTCCGAGTGACTTCCGGTAAGGCTTCGTCAAGAACCACAAGAAGTAATATTGGAGAGAATGAAACAAATCAGATTATTTTATTCTAGTGTGGGATAAAATTGATACCAGAGTGTGTCATGTGAGATGTAGGGGGTCTTCTAGGATGGTGTGAAAAGGGGGCCGTTTTTCATCGTCTCATGTATCCGCAATCGTTCGACCTTGCACACCTGCTGGGGTTTCGGCAGCGCATCGCGGTGTCCGTGTGATCGTTTGGTTCATTCACGGCTGTTGCGGTGAATGGGCGGGCGAACCTGATTAAGACCGTGCAGCGAGGCACGCATTTTTTCAAGCTGGTCGAAAGAGGACACGCTGGAGGCAGGGGGGACGGCATGTACCGTAGTGTTTCTCAAGATACCACACCCCTGGATCGAAATAGCCTGGTTACTCCGCAGCACAACCAAGTGACGGTGGCGGTGTTGGAACCGTCTCGTCGAGAGCTTTTCGAAAACGTATCAGTCGATTTGTGGCATCCTCTTGGTCGTGGGGGTGATCGAGCCGTGGAAAGCGGTCCCTGGGAGTGGTGGCATCCAATGCTGAAACTTATGGGGTGGAACTCGACCTCCTCCTTCGTTGAGTGTTGCTTCTGCTATCCGCACCCGACCCGATCCGACTCGTTTGCTTGAGTGTTGTGTCCTCCGACCACAACTAACCCAAGTCGTCGTGTCTCTTGTGTTTTTCATTTCTGCTCGGCCAGGTGGTTCCGAAACGCTCATGTGGAGCGAGTGGTGAGAGACGAAAACGGCGACGTGGTTCACACGGAGACGGTTTTGTGCCCGATGCTCCTCCGCACCCTCTTGGCCTCGAGTGTCATGTCTCCAGCGGCGACAGCAGCAGCAGCAGCAGCAGCCGCAGCAGCAATAGCATCGGCGCCAGCGTCAACACCCGAGGAAGAAACAGCAGCGAGAATAGAAGCGCTGACATTAGAAACGGGAGCAGCAGCATTGGCAACCGTAGAAGCAACCGTAGGAGGAGGAGGAGCAGCAGCAGGAACACAGGCGGCGAGCTCTAACACCGCCCCCTTGCCGAATATGGAAAGCGCTCGGACTCCGCGCGCTGAGTGTCTAGCCTCGCATTCTGCGGGGCATGTCGAAGTTTGCCGCGATCGTCGTTTGTGTGCGTCAGGAGGGTGGGAGGAAGCAGGCATGTTGGCCGGGGGGACAGGGGAAGGGGTCGACGGGGGGGGGGTTGATGGGGCTGTCGACGTTTCGCTCCGACAGCAGCAGCAGCAGCAGTGGCAGCGGCAGCAGAGGAAGCGGGGGAGGGTGGTTGCACGCGCACGGGCGGCGACCAAGGCGCTGGAGCGAGCAGGTCAGAAGTCCGCTACCCACCTGGTGGTCAAGAACTTGGACGATACTCTATATGCTGCTGCTACTGCTGCTGCTGCTGCTGCGGATGGTGGTGGTGACGGAGATGTCGGAAGGGCTGCCGCTCTTGCTCCCGTTGCCCCCACCAGCAACAACGGCGGCAGCGAGAGCCCCCTCCCGTCTTACGTGCCGGCAACCGTAAGAGTTCCTGCCAACACCGACACAAACACCACCGCCGCCGCCATCGACGCAGGTTATCCACCGCTTGGCTTACCTCAGCAAGGATCTGCAGTAAATGGCGTTAAAGCACCCTCCGGCGATGTCACGCAGCAGGCTGGGAAACTCGGAGCCGCTACCCTAGACGGGATCATCGCCATCGCCAGCGACCCTCCTTTGATCATGTCGGAGGAAGCCCTGGAGATCTTGAAGGGGGCTACCGGTGGCGGGAGCGGAGAGGGATTCGAAGGTTACGGGCCGAAGATGGACCGCATCGTGGAGTCGGTGACGAGCTTGGGCAGGTGAGGATTGGCCACACGGCAAGGGTTGGAACAAGGTTCTGGTGAGACATGGTTTCCTTGCTTGCGCACGCACCAAACGCGTGTTTTTTCGGAAACATCTGGGCTGGGAGCTTGCCGCCACCCGTTGCCTCCAAGGGTACCGGATTTTGTGGGGGGGGCGCATTTTTCGTGGTTCCCCCACAAGGGAGAGCGGGGATTTGTTCAGGTTGGGGTACATCTGTTCCTGCTGCCACTATGACCCGCTCGCCATTGGCAAACCACACAAAGCACCAAAGCCATCCTCTCTTGGCCTGCCGAGATAGCTGGCCACGTTGCTATGCTATCCGATCGAAGAAGCAGCAAGCGGCAGTCCCTTGCTCTTTTCTTCCTGTGCGGTTTTCGTGTCACGAGAGAGCTCTTGTTCACTTCTCCCCCCCCCGGTGTTTGCGAGGAAGCTGACATGGCAGTATCGCATGTGCGGGATGGGACAGGAGAGGTTGCCGAGAATTGTATGGGAGGCGAAGTGGGCAAACAAAAAGAGGGGTAGACAACCCACGGAATGGGTCAAGGTTGTAGAGGACGTATGGAAGGGGATCGACATCGACGAAGATGAAACGCTGGAAACGGAGGGTCTACAGGGGTTCAAGGAGAAGATATCTGTTGCTTGTGCCGAGAGAGAAGAACAGAATCTGAGGAAAGAATCCAAGGATAAGGAGGGTCTAGAAGTGTACGGAATGTTGAAGGAAGGAATAGGGTTCAAGGACTACCT